AGCCTGTCTACCCACAAGCAGATCAACACGGCCACCCAACTTGGTGTCTGCAAACTCACTGAGGGTGCACTCGATCCCCTCGTCCAGATCATGGATAAAGATATTAAACAGAAAATACATGATGCCAACATTTATGTGGCTGAGAAATAGCAAAATATGCTGCAAGAGGTAGATGATCATAACTGAAAGAAGGAGACTGTGTGCAAGACATTGTGATTACACGGCAGCGGCTGTTAAATTGAAACTCATGTTCTACTTTTTTTTTTAATAGCCTGGGCTGTTTGGTACTGTGGTGGATAAAGGCCTTAACAAACAGCCATTACCTAGCAGCAGTGCCCAGAATGGGTGAAGATGGTCTTGAATTCAGGTCATAGTGTATTCTGGTTGACAGCAACCACAACACTTCACGTAGTCAAGCTCTTGCCACTAATTACTGTGTGTGCTTCTTTGTGGTATTTCCCAGCACTGCCTGTGTTCACAGGAACACACAGTCACCAGCCTTGATTTCCTTTTTTTAAATCTTGCGATGTTTAGTGACATCTCAGAATCTCTCTGGGTCATGCTAATACACAAAAAAAATCTCAGCTCCTCTTTGAAAGCATGTTTCCAGACTGCGTAGTAAAGGAAGTCGGCAAAAGGGGCTGTGAACTCTGATTCAAGTGTAATGCTTAAACATAAAAATAAACTTAAAGGTGTTTTTCTTAACTGCTTCTCCTATCCAGTCCCTTCAGTATGCTGCCACTAATAGCATAAAAATGGACACGTACGGTCTGGAGCGGTGTGAATCACAGAGCTCATGTTGCTCGGGAGGACATGTCCTGGCAGCGGTTCCAGGTTGAGGTTGGGAGGTCCTGACTGGTACTGGAGATCAATGGTGGTTCCTGCAGTGGAAGTGGGAAAAGACATCATTCTTTGCATAGTTACCGAGAAGCCAGATGCTCTGGGCCAAATTTCTTTACTTTTTTTCAGAGAATGTGGAAGACCTCTGTGGGTGGGGGTTAATGTCCTGGCTCGTCTTTGCTTCCTTCCTCCTCCCGCTGTCCTCTTCGCTCTCAGCCTTCTCAGTGTCTAGGGACAACCTCCTGGGATGGCTGGGCTTTCAGCTAATACCCAGCTGCGCTGCTGATCTGTCTCTGTGTGTGTCCCAGTTACTGCTCTTATCAGGGTTTCCCGTACAGTTATAAATTTTGCATATTGCTAACAAAAAATGTGTTGTCTTCTTGCAAACTGCATCGGTTTGGTAGGTTGCCTGAAAGTCTAGTGCCTCATTGGTGTGAAGCACCACCACAGAATGTACCCATTGCTATAAAGCTGATCCTGGGTCAGATTTTCAGAGACAGGCTGGAAAGAAAATGCTTGAGAATCAGACACGAGTGAGAAGGACCCATGTTCAAGCTACAATTCAACCTGAGCCTTCACTTCCCTGCTCCCAAGACCAAGTTCTCTCTACCGTACATCCTCCAGAGAAAGACACAAATGCAGACACAAAGATCTGTAATGGCTTTGAAGTAAAACAACTTTTTGCTGTCCTTTCTCAGCAGGGTTCATACCTCCCAGCAGCATCTCCTGCAGCAAGCTGTCGATCCTGGCCACGCCAAAGAGCTTCACGAACTGGACTTGCTCTATCATCTGCCAGGTGATGCTCTGCAGCGGGGGCAGCAGGAGGAGGATGTCGCTGAACCGGCCTCGGGAGTCGTACTGGCGATCGTTGATGTAGTCTTCTAGGTTCACTTGGACCTGGAAGCGCATGTTCTTCACCTTCCCGGGCTCGCTCAGGCCTTTGCAGTCTGGGAGGGGAAAAAAATGAAGATAATGACTGGCCTGTGTATCCAAAAAAATTGTTACCATGTCAGTCAGGCTCTGCAGAGGGAAAGGATGAGATTCCAGTGATCCTCTGACAATTATCTGTCAGAGTCTCCGAGTTTATCTGACAGACTAGCATTGGGCTGCCACTATTTCGTATCTCACAAGGAACAGGGAAACAGGAAGGGGATTTTGAGGGGAAACAGTAAGAAAATGAGAGGTTGCTCCAGATGGGCATGTCTGGCTACTGCCATTAGTCATGCAGAAGGATTTAGAAGCTGAACCATATTTGTCCTTCCAAGGAAACGGCCTGGAATTTTCCCCTGAAAACTTTGAGTCCCAACTACTGCCACTAAATCCATGCAGGTTTAGTGCCTGTATGTTGTAATTACCCCTCCTGCAGCATCAAATTCTTGTCTCGATTTCTTGCCTTTGACCCGTGGTCGATCTGGTTTTCATGGACCACTGGTCCAATTTTGCTTAAGCATGCAAATGTGCGCTCTGGGTAGGGTGAAGTACCAGGATTTACAGCTTTCCACTCTGGCCTCTCCTGCTAGCTAAAACTGAGGTTTCTCGCTTGCTGGGACATTTCCTTCACTGTCTACAAAGAATCCACGAGCACCAGATTTTAGGGGTCATCCTGCCAAGAGATTAGATGAAGTGTCTAACAAATTATTGTATGTCAGCAGGTAACTCCATGGGCATGCCTACTTGTCAGCATGAACGAATTTCACTTCTGTAGAGCTTCGCAGTTTTTCCTTTTAGGTGAAATCATAGCGCCTCACTGTCGCAATGATCTAGGCTTCACTGAGATACTCATCAGGCAAGGAAGTAATTTGTCAAACTCAGTTTGGTAATTCCACTTTTACTCAGGTTTACAGCAGGCTCTTTGGCGAGCCAAAGTTCATGATGTTTGTAAAACTCCTGTATCCTGATCTCAAATCAGCGAACACAGCAGAAAAATAACTGATGGAAGATACTGTCATTTCTCCATGCTAATAGATACCAAAGACAAAAGGGCATTGTTCAGAGCTTGGGATTGTTCTCCATCTCTTCTCCAAGCTACAGGGCAAGACACCCTAAAAAGGGACCTGAGCGCTGTACCGAGAGGAGGTGTGGGTGTGCTGTAGGCATGTAGAAACACGAGTGGTTGGGGGGAGCCTGGACTGCGACAGAAACCCCTGTGTTTGTGGAATGAGAATAGAGCAAAGGTTCAAAAAAAGCTTTTGTTTGCTTCTGTGTGTTTTCCTGTTCTCCATCCTGTGCGGATCAGCCCTGCCCTTGGTTGGTACTGGCTGCCAGCAAGATCCATTAACAGATGTCCTTGATATTTCTGGGTACTCTGAACAGCCCAGTTCTCTGTGGTTTTTAATGCTGCTCTCTGAACTCTGATGGATGCTGCACGCTGCTGCTCAGTTGACTCACTTCGCTTATGCATAATTCAGTATAGGCATATATGTCCTCAATAGTCGTCTCCTTCATTTCAGACTGATGGGCTCTCCTGAAGCCAAGCTACAGGAGCAGCGAAACTCCTCTAGGGTCTGCAGGCTCTTGCACATCGGTCTGGTTGGAGTTAATACTTGCTAAATAGTGAAGTGTTCACTTCTAATATGTCCTTGCTGCACTGCTAAGTATTGCTCATTACAGCAGAGGCAGGGAGAAACACAGAGCTGCTTCCAAGGGGTTTTCCTGGTTGTTGGAGGACCCTCGACTCCTTTTCAAGGCCCATGCCTGGCAATCAGGAAGGAAGCTTACCTGGATCAAAGAAGATGATGGCTTTAAGACAAGCGTACTCGTTGTCATCAATCTGGATGTCCCGCAACGGCTTCACCAACTCGTCCAAGATTCTGGTGGCCACGCGAGCGATTTCCAGTTCTGGGCAGTGCATTGGGATGATGAAGTCATTCCCTGGGGAGACAAGAGAAATTCACCATGAGATTGTTGCTCTGGCTCTGCGGACGCGGTCTCATCCAGAAGTTACCCCAAGGCATGCTGCCAGCTGGTCCCAGTGCTCGTGTGCAGCAGATTTCCAGTGTGCAGCTTCATATCCAGATCTCACGATTGAGAAGCAAGCTGTGGATCTCATTTTTTGGTCCTTAATTATCTCATTTGTACACATTAGTGCACCCACACAGTACACAAAGCCTGCTCCATGTTCTGCTCTGGTTTATCCTCTGTTATACGTGGCGTCTGTTTGCAAGTGGTGTTGCATCTTTATTTTTGGTGAGGTTTTTTTTTTTTAGACAAAGTTCCCCCTCCCTCTTTTCTTCAATGTGTGGCTTTCAAGGTCAGTATTCTTATTTTTCCAAGAATAATCCCACCTGCGTGTTTGGTGGCAGAGGGCTACATGAAAAGGAAATACTTATTTGCAGTATAATTTTGAATAGACCTTTCTGCTAAGTGTTTAGGCACCAGTACCCAAATACCTCATTGCCTGTGTCTTTGCAATTTCAGTTACCAAAACAAGGCAAGCAAGTTTGAGATGCCCTTTAAATATTGGAGGGTTTCTCATCCACAATTTCAAAGCACTAAGGGAGCAGTTGTAAAAGTCCCAGTGAATTTGCTTGCTCATTTTTACACTTCTCCAGAGACCTTCTCAAGCACTTAGTCTCAAGCCAGACCTGCAGACCATGCCCAGGAGTGCAGAGAGGATTTCAGGCAGACAGGATACTTGGCAATGACTTGGATGTGCGAGTTATAAAAGCAGGAGTGTATTTCGCTACTTTACCTAATAATAGAAAATCGGTGTATGGTATGGACCGCTTGGCTACCCCGAGGAGCAAGTGTTCCCCTGCGTGGGCTCTGAGCAAGGCAACCTGGAGATGGCACAGAAGAAAGAAATAATATCACGTTTGAAAAACAAGGAACAGAACGGTGAGCTGCTGCTGTTTAGATTAAGCCAAATTTGGTGTTTGCTTAGATGTGTCAGATCTACAGATAAAGTACTATAAAGAGCTAGAAATTATTCATGTATCTTCACTTTGCAGGAGCGCTGTATTCTTGGCAAACTACATAAAAGGTTGGTTTCAACTGAAAAAGCAAAGAGGGACTAGAGTAATTTGACTTATTAGGAAATAAAAGGCTTTTAAATTCAACTATCAAGTACCAATAAAGGGAAAACCAGTCTTTTTTGGTAGGTCCTGGTGCAGACTGGAGTGACCAACTCTACTATATTTTGGGGGCTTTGGCTACTCAACTTATTTTTAATCGAGCCCTTGTCCTTCATTACGCTTTCTCTCCTGTTAATTTATTGCTCTGCACTGGATGATCTACATGTTAACGCCAGATTCTCCTGTTGAAAGGTAGGGCTGGGAATCCCTGTCGAAGGCCGTGGGTTTGCAGGGGAGAGGCATTTGCATTTTACCTGGTCGTCAAGTGGGAGCTCGCAAAACGCCGGGATGTATTTTGCCCACTCTACCAGCACCAGAAGCTGCTGTTTCATGGATTCACACACATCGTTGATGGTTGCAACCTTCTTCATAGCGATGTCCGCGCTGTGCACTGGGCTCAGCGATGAATACTGCAAGAGAAACAACCCGGTGGCACTGGGGCCAGAGCTGTGTGTTTTGCCATCCTCGATAGCAACGGTTCATGGATAGCATGGGGAGCCTTCGCAGACGTTACCCTCGTCACTGACAAGACGTGCGCTGCTGTGGTTGCACGCTTATTTGCTCAGCGGTGTACGCCGTCCAATGTACAGCCCGTGGTGAAACCTCCACGAGGTGGTGCTCGGTCCCAACAGACACCCCTCCCTCCTCCGCCTCCTTCCCCACTCTCCAGCCTGGCTCAGCACCAAATCTGTTTAATATTCCCGTTCCTAGCAGTAGCCAGCAGCACTGGGTCTCAGCTTCCCACCGATCGCTTAAGCCAGCCAAACGAATGAAATGCATCCAGCCTTTTTCCCTCAAGTTGCTGTCTGGGGCACAAAACACCCATTTCAATCTCTAAAGAGCTGCATGGCGGGGGGAGAGGGTTAAAAAACATCTTTTAAAAGGAAGTGGACGCATTGCTGCATGTAACATGCAACATCTGGACCATATGTTTCAGTGGAGAAAGGACATTTGCATAAGAATTTAAAGGACGAACAGGGTGAAATTCGTTGCAGAGCACGAAACAAGAAAGCAATCGGCGTTGGTTGAAGCCCAGCGGTTTTATTTGATTTATTTTTCTCCGCTAAAATTGTTGCCCTGGTAAAGAAGTTACAAGAAAAGTTATAATCAACCATGACGAGAACATTACGTTCTGAGCAGGACAGAGTGTGCAGCAAGGAGGGATAAACTTCTGCATGAAATGCAGTGAGCTTTTAGGGCTGCAGCCACAATTTAGGCTGGGGGCAGAGGGGACCTGGGGTCTGCAACACCCCTCAGCCTTTGGAATTTCAGCTTTGCCTCTTGCATGCCGAAGGCTGCATCTGCTCCTTGCAGGACGTGTTGTCTTGATAATGCAGCAAGGATTTTTACTGCCTGCTTTTGGATATCTCTAATGCATTTTCTTCCCTGTGGCTTTGTGAAGGAGCCGTCCAAGGGCAGAAAAAGATCCAGCCCTGGTTGGTTTAGCGAGTTCACAACCCTGTAAGGAATTGCTGGAGACCATGTACTCCTGTGGAAGGCTGTCCCCGCATTTCATACCTGCTGTGCCATGGCCTCAGCCTGAGTGAGCACGTTGATGGAAAGAGAGCCGTTGTCCTCGTAGCTGCACCTGCGAATGCTGATCCTGTCACGCTCGTTCTGAACAGCTGGAATGAGAGCCAGCAGTGGCTGCGTTAGCACGAAACTTCCCACACAACCACACTTGTGGTGCCCAAACAGGAATGGATGGGGCTTTAGTGCCTGCAAGACCCTCCACTCTCGTTGGATGCTGGAATAAGATTAAACAGGCCCTGGGAAAAGGCCACCAGAGAGGGAGAAGACCAAGCCCAGGAGCAACAGCAGGAGATAAGGCCATTTGGGAGTCAGAGCAACCCCTGCAGGACGTTATCTGGTCCCACTGGGTTTGATGCAGCTCAGGGGGAGTTTGGGGATTTGATGTTGACTCTTTTCATTTGGCAATGCACCCGCCCTGCTGGAGTCCTGGCCTCAGATACCCTTTTTACTATGTCTGCACTGAGGACTCCTCTCCTGAGCCCCCGGTACAGCAGGATGCTTTTGAGGTTGCATCTTGTCTTACAGCAGCACTGGAAAACCCATCCTCTGATCCCACCTCAAAGCAGCCTTGAAGTGTCCCCTGCCCCTGAGGCATCGCAGGTGGTGGTCCGAAGGGGACATCACCACTCATGGGGCGCCCAAAGAGTCGCCTCATTAAGGAAGCTCCAAAGAAAAGGAGGTTAAATTCACCGATTCCCCCTTAAAACCATTCCCTCAGCCTTGCCCATCACCGCTGCTGATTTCAATGAGCCTGTAACCCTGACTGCAATGCCAGCCAAGAGCTGAGGGACCAAACCAAGCCAGGGTTTGTCTCCAGCTCTGCTGGCACACTGTGCAAATCACAGCTGCAAATCAGCTCAGAGTGTCCTGAACTGTTAATAACGGTGATACGATGCACCTTGGACACACCGTAGTGATCACAGCGGAGTGAAGATCAGCCCCAGGGTTTTTGCAAACAGAAAGGTATGGCCATGCCGTGGTGAATTAGGGAAAAAAACACAACAGGCTGATTTTTTGAGGTCCATTCTACGCTTTAAACCATCCTTTTCCCTGAAGCACAACCCACATCTAGCCCCATGCTCCATCAACCCTGCGTGTTGAACATAAGGGATTTATTGCACTTCGGCAGCTTATTTTTGCGACACAGGCTCCAAGAACTGACTCGCCTCCTCTGCAGCCATCAAGTAAAACAGCAGCAGAAAAAAAAAAAAAGCAGAATTTAGACTTAGTCCAACCTTGTTCTCAGCGTTAGTTTCTCCCCCAAGCCTTATTGCTTCTGTCCAGCAGCAAACAAGCCCACATGGGGCTGGAGGAAGGAGCCTGAATGCAGACTCAGCCTTTTCCTGACAGCTCGTAAGTCTTGGCTACGCACAGCTCGGAAAGGCAACTGTCAGGTCCTTAAAGCAGAGGGAGCGGGAAGATTTAGCATGTGGTGATAATGCAACACATCCCTCCTCCTTCCTTCATGCAGCAATTCATGGTTCCTTTTGGTTTTATGTAGGGGGAATGACTCAGGTGTAGCTGTCAAAGCGCGATTTACTCTGTGCTTTAACCCCTCGGATGGGAAACCGTGTGGTTTTGTTTCAAAAGTGGTTACTGGAGAAGATTTTTCCAGCAACGATTTTTGTGCAGAGTCAGCAAAATCGTTTCACCGTCACTCTTTCAAGACTTTGCCTTGCTGCTGGGCCTTGCTTTAGAGCAAGCATCACTCTTTGCACAGGGTATGCTTCTCTGAAATCATGCGAAGGAGGAGACGTGGGCACCGTTTGGCACACAGGGTGGGAAGGTGGGGGTTTTTTTGTCAGCTCAGGTCCAACCACTGATCTGTTTTCCTAACCCGCCTCTGATGGGAGGCCAACAAAGTGCAAGGGCAGAAAACAAGCAACAGTTACAAAAATCAATATCTCCTGTTATCAGCGGGAGTGTAGTATTTATTTTCCAGGATTTGGGACTCAGCCTTGCTCTCAGTGGGGACCTGCTCGTTGCTGAGCTGGGCGTGCTTGGGGGTCTGCTGGAGCCCAGTCACCAAAGCCATTTTGCATCTTGGAGCCAACCTTGCCTGGACGGCTGCAAGGGGCTGGATGGGTACATCGATTTGTAAGAGATGCAACACACCTAGATATTGCTGGAGCCATTTCAGGCTGTGGATACTACGTCGAGGCAATTAGACATCAATTTAGAGAAAAAACAACTACGACTTGGGAGGCTCTGCTAACCCACCTTAGCCAGGCAGCATATGTTACCCTATGCGTGGCAGGGTGTGATGGAAAAGGCTGTTCAGCTGGGGATTCCCATCAGCCTGAAGGTGAAGGTGGTTGTAGGAACCATAATCTATGGTTAATCTTCAGCGCAGATTAATCCTTTACAGCTTTTTTTGGTACACCGGAAAGACGAACAGCAGCACCCAGCATTGAGTAGAAATAAACCCGCCCAAATCCATGTCATCGCTGACGTCCTGGGAAAGTCCCCACCCAACATTCTATGTCTGGATTCATATCAGATGCTCCCCCATGTAGCTCTCGGGGGGGATGGGGCTCTCTTTGCCCACTTAAAAGAAAAAGTACAAATTTTGCCTTTCCAAATGAGTAACACATCTTATTTTCTGTAAGTCCTACAAACTCAGGTGGACCTGGTCCTGGTCCCTGATGACAGACTCCTTTAAGAAGCCTCAGCCTGTTTTTCTCCTGAGACCTTTGATGGCTCCTATTTCAGTGCTTCCCTCATGCTCTGATAAGCTCAATCTTCAAGTGTAAGTGGATGGCACGGACTGACTTTCTCAAGGTGATATAGGTGTTATCGCTGAAAGTACCCAAGATGTGATGGAATTAGGCACAAAAGGCGGTTAATGTTTTACCTGCCACAAAATTAATCTATTACTGTGTGGTAATTATATTGCTGTATTTATTGTGCTTGTAAAAGGGAAGGGATAGGTCACTCGTGGTGAGGCATCGGGAGTGCTCGAGGGGCGTGCTGTGCTGAGAGTGCTTGGGCTCAGACATGATCTTGGCTTTGCCGTCAATAAACTCAGCGAACTTGCGGGACAGACTAACATCCCAGTGCTGGATCCCACTGTCTCCTAGGGGCTGCTCTTTCCAGTATATGCCTGGCAAAAGCTTTGGTCGCCCATTTATTTTTGTCTCTACTCCTGTCCTCTGCACAGCGCTCCGGTCCCCAAAGCCAATAAACCCTGGGAAGGGCCACTGCGTGAGCGGGTGTCAGCAGGAGTGAACCCCACGATGCTGCTGGCCAGGGACAGCGTGGCCCCGACCCGGGCTTTGCCCTGGGGAAAGGGGAAAGAGGGCGAGATGGTGCCCACACCTCCCTCCAGCGAACTGTTCACGGCCCCTGTAGAGGAGCCATCGGAGGGGTTTTGTTGTTCAAAGCAAGGCTGGGCCCTTTTGCCGTGAGCACATCAAGGATGCCGGCACCAGGGCAGGCTGCAAAGCACGCGTGGTGACTCTTGAGCAAACAGCGGTGTGTTTGTGGGATTGCAACAAACCCGTGTTTCCCAAACGTGTTGTCCTTGCTGCCTTGCCACATAGGTACAGAGCCCCTGGTGAGTGAGGAATCTCTGGGGGATCCAATAAATCTGGGCACAGGCATTGATTGGAAGGGGACAGCAACAAACCAGTAACTTTCCACAGTAACTGCAAAGATTAAAGCCCTGCCTACATGGAAGTTACCGTTTCCATTATTATTCTGTTAAAAACATCCTCATTTAACGCCGATAGAGTTGGCAATGTATTAATAAATGGCATAGAGAGAGAGCAGGAGGAGGGAGGTGTGTGTGCCCTAGCGCCGTGCTGGCATTCACCGGTGCTCACAGTGTTTGTCTCTCCGCTGATAGATTTACTCCTTCTGCTGCTTGATTAATTTATATGCACAAATCGGTCTTTTCCCTCAGCTACCTCTGATTTTGTAGGTGAGGGATATTTTATTTGCTAATAAATCCCAATGGTACATGCACATTTAATCCTTTCATGGGCTTTTGGCCTGATTTATGACTATTGCAAAGTAGGGAAGATCCTTTATCTTTTCCATCCATCTTTGCAATAAACCGTAGTCCCAGCCTTCTGAAAGCTGGCAGAAGAGATGTGCAAACAAAAGGTATGAAACAAGATAGAAGTCCTGTGAAACACTAATAAAACTGTCCTATAAACCTGTCCAATTTCACAAAAATAAATAAAAAATAGCCTCAAATCCTCCCACTGTGTTGTGGCAGTAAGTGATACAATAATTCTTTTTACTTCTGTGTAAAACTCAAGGAGATCATGTACATTCATAAATTACTTTAAAGGGGATGAGAGGTTAAATATTAACCCCCCTTTTTTTCTCCAGCAAACTGAACCCTGACAGTGCAGTGCTGGCTTTTTGAAAGGCTTCCAGGCTTTCAGATACTCAACTCCATGAGAGCAGATGACCTGGCTCACTCGAAAAATCACACCCTGCTAATTTATTCAAGGTGAATCAACCAAAGATCTCAGTAAGGTGCTAAAAATAGTAGCCTGCTGTTTTCTTTGGGAGTTTAAGTATCTGGTCCACTCCTAATCCACTGATGCTGTAGTGGCCAAAAACCTGTCCAGTAGCAATGTGCAAAACAATAGAAATCGAGCATTCTCCTGTGCCAAGACAGAAAATCAGAGGGAACAGCCAGAAAATCCCCGAAACACCCAGACTGCTCTGCAGTACGGTCCCAGCCTTAACCACAAAACAAGAATAAAGGAGTGAATCTCCTGTAAAAAATCTTAAATCCTGATCATAGTGGCATTTCAGGAGACAAGAAGGGGTTTGCGTTCAAAAAAGCCTTTTCCTCTCCCCTTGTGCCAACTTTAATGATTCTTTACTTGTAGTTATTAAAGTGAATTATTAATACCAAAAATGTAATTGGGATAGGAGTGTTTCTGAATGAGCTAATTTCTAGGAAATCTGGGTACTGGACTTTCCACAAGACTCGGGCTTTGGCCCTTTCTTGCTCTCCCTGGTGCTAGTGGAACCTGGATCCCACCTCAATGCTCAGGCTTGGAGGTGTAGAGCTCATGTGTGGGACGGTCCTTGTCCTTTCCCAAAGCAGGATGAACTTCTGAGTGTACAAACAAGACAATCTAAAGGACCCTACTCATGCTTTTCTCAACAACCTCTGCCCAGCTGCCCTAAACCCACAGCGAACCTATAGCCTGACTGCACTCTGCTCCCAGGACCAGCCCATGGTGAGTCCCTCAGCTCTGAACCTGCACTGCTGCCCCTATAAACATCCAATTTAAAGCTCACTCAGGTGTTTGCATCATATGTTTTTTTTTCTCTAGGCAAAAATTTCCCTTCTACCAGGCCAAATAATATAGCCCCTCTCAGTCTTTTATGCATCAGAGTCGTTTCCAACAGGGGAACAAAGAGAGAAAGAAATATCCAAAGGTATCATGCCACATCTTACAACACAGGAAGACTGGGAAAAAAGTCACTCTGGATCCAAAATTCCAGTTTATCAGTTAGTTTACCTGGGATGAGAACATTCAGGGAACAGCAAGTTTTCCGATATTACGCAGACACCCGCGGAGCAGTGGGTCAGTGGGGCGCCGGTGGTGGGGGGCGTACGAGGGTGACACAACCCTTCTAACCCCACCCCAGGTGTATGGTCACGGACAGGCTGGGAAAAGGATCGTTTCCGCCTTCTTCCCCTCTACTGTGAATAAACAATGCTATTACCACACCCTGGAAAGTCTGATTGCTATTATGTGGGCTGGCTGAAAAGTGGTGTGCCAGGGAAAAAAGAGTGTCCAAGTCTTGCGTGCCAGTGCTGGGACAATGGGACACACTGAGTGTGGATGTCACAGCTGCGGTCTCCCAACATGAATTGATGCAAACCACCAAAAAATTATGCACAAACGTTTGTATCATCCTCACACTGCTCTATCACAAGACACGGCTTCTCTTTTTCCCTGATGCTTTGCAATACTGTTTAATATTAATCTAGAACCACCCTAAAGTAAATAACCGTGTTCTTTTTGTGCACACAATTGTGCAAGAAATTTTCTTTCACAGTCCTGCACACATGCTTTGGATATAGCTCTGGTCAGCTAAGCTAATTTCTGCAAAGCAGTTGCTCAAGGTGCTTTAAAATCTTCCTTACCCAACACATGAGCAATTTGTGAGCACACAACCTGACTGTGCACTCATAAAAAAGGTTTCAAAGAATGTGACGATGTGGAACTTGAAATGAGTCATCTTCCATCAAGCTGCAATCAATAATGAAGGCATGAGCCAAGGTTTTACAACTTTTACCATAAAGCCAATAAAAAATCATGCTTCAGCTCAAAAAATGGAGCTGATAACCAGATTTCAGCCTTTCCGAGCTGTGGAGCTGGCTGCATTGGCAATTGGCATCATCCCCATCTAGAACTGACCAGATCAGCTTCGGTTTCATCTTTATTAATTTGAGGGCTATTTTTGTTTTCCATCTGCTGTATTTACTCTGTTTCTCCTAAATTAAACCAGCAGGCATTTTTGCTACATCCATGACTTATACCAAATTTCAAGACACCCTTGTTCTCCAGGAAAACATATGGTCAGAAAGTTGGAAAGATTTTTTCATCACCAGTGAAATCTTACGAATTACCAGAAATCAGTGACAAATTTCCCCTTGGTTTCAGTGGGACCATGATTTCACCCCTTGGGTAAGGGGTGTTTGGCTCAGTGGCGTGGAAAGAAGTTCTCAAGTTCCTTCCTAGCTCCCTCACCCTTTAGCTGTTGGTGGGTTGGAAAATAGCACAAATGAAGGGTGAAGAGTGTTGAAACCATCAGCCAACGACCTGCACACCAGGGGGACGTACCATCTGTTGTGGGTTGGGCCCCCGCTTTGCTAAGCACACAGTGTACAAGCACAGTCTTTGCACAGAAAGCTTGGAGTAAGTAAAATAGCATTATCTGTGCTGTCCCACTGCTCAAACACTGAATGAGCAGAGATCAGAAATGCTGTGACAGGTCCCAAACTTTCCCAGGGCAGCTGGCCGTAGGGAGGTAAGGCATAGGTTAGCAGAAGCGTTTTTTTCTCTTGCTTAGCATTAGGCACTGTAACACTTAGTATTGCATTTAGCGCGTTGAGAGGGACTTTCCCCGTGGTCACTGGTACCCAAATGCTCTACAGCGCTCCACCTCCCACTTAATACAGCCCATGTGAAGTGCAACAAAAGGCATCAGCCAATACTGGATTGGCCCTTCAGTACTAGTGCTAGTGGTGGATCTATAGCCGTGCTGTAGCCACCACGAGGGCAACACTACCGAAGGGTTTGACTCTGACTCAGGTCCCAACTCAGGGCACGCAGGAGCCATCTGCCTCCGGGAGCACTCCCTGTGTGCCCTGTGCCACGGAGAAGCAGCTCTCGCACCGTAAGGCGCCATGTTCAGGCTGTACCTTGCCTGCCCTAAGCGTTCCACCAAGCTACGTGAGCATCAGCCAAGTCAACCGCCAAACACTACTCTGCAGTAGTCAACAGTTGACATTTATGAGATTGAGGATGGCAGGTCGTCTCTGAGATTAGGAGTCATGCTAGCAGGTATGTAGCAAGGGAGTTGCTGTTGTGAAGAACTTAGAGACCAAGTAAACCCTGAGGAAGCCTATCCCTTTCCCAGTATAAAAATATCCCAGAGAGACCAGCCTCCCAGGATGGGTGAATACTACTGCAAGGCTCTCACTGAAATTCCCATCTGATAAGATGGGCAATGAGGCTTTCTGCTGCAAGAAATCTCTCGCTGTGACACTTGAACATCACCTCTCTACGCCAGGGCTGCCACTGCTCTCCATCATGCTCTGCGGTGGGAGTAGGGTCAGAGACAGCAGTAAGCAACTTTGAAATGTCTCTTTGCACCTACCTTCTTTCTTCATGCCAGCTCTGAAGCACTTCTTCAGCCTGCAGTACCTGCACTGGTTCCTCTTGTCTTTGTCTATCACACACTGTCGGCTGAACCTGGGAGGAGATGGGAAATAAAACATGGAGTAACCAGCCTGGCATCTGCACCCCACTCACCTCAAGCAGCCGCAAACACAGTCCTAGACCTCACTGAGCAATGCATTGCCTGAATCCAGAGAAGAGCCAAAGATTTGCAAGAAATGGATTGAATCAACGTTGTCTTGGCCCGGTTCCTCATCTTCCCCACCACAGCTCCTGCCAGCTGGGAGCGCAGCGATTTCAGACCACCCACCCTGCAAGCACTGTGATGGGTTTGGCTGTGAAAGCGTGACGGTGACTCAAGTTGTGCTGCTGTAGGAGCTCCATCTCCCACTTTCAGAGAGTTATTGGGCGTTCAGCGTCGGGGTTCCTTTTATCCCACTTGTTAACACTGCTCTGCTTTGCATAGAATAATTACATGATGGACCACAAGCCCCTTTGTGTCTGCAGCCTAGTTTTGGGGCATGTAGCCTCCTAATTCCTATTCATTTCGATGGCGGATTTAGGAACCTATGTGCTCTTCAAGGAGTGGCCCCTGTAGACTTGGCAGCTCTTGCCATGGTGGGTAAAGCAATAGAAGAGGAACCTGCCATGCAGAGAGGAGAAGGTGTGGGTTTCTCCGGGACCATCATCAGGTTGTTAAAGCCCAGGCACTTTCCCAGACTGGTAAAAAGCCAAAGGTACAAAGGCCCGAAGACTTTCCAAGGAATTCACATCTGCGATAAACAACAGAGCTCCAAGACTGGGCTAAATACAGCACAGCTCACCAAATAAGGATGTGCAGACAAGCGAGCATTTGCCATTTGCTTGGCTTCGATGCTGTGGATCTTCCCTGAGCTGCCAAATAGCACAGAGATTCGTGGATTCCTGGGGAGGGGCAACAACTTTGCTCCCAGGAGACTGATAGCTGAAATGTCAAACAAACCAGTAGCAACTGTTGCCTCTTCCTGCAGGGATCCCACGGTTCTTGGGATGGGCACTGTGCGGGTGGACACTGCTGTCTCCCCAGGTGTCTTTCATGGCTGGTGTGTCCTGGAGTGATAAGGACCCCAGGAGCATTTCGAACAAAGAGTGTGACTCGCGTTTCAAAAGCTTAGAATGCCCTTAAAGGAGGAAGAGCTCTGGAAGAGAAAGACACTTCCAGGTTTTAATTAAAGATGAAGAGCTTGAGTGTATTCAGAGTTTTTTTCCTTCTTCCTCCTGTACTGAAATAAACAACATTTCTCTAAGGTCAACTGAGATAGCTGCTTTATAATTTATAACGTAAGCCTGGTAAAGAATTTCTCTCAAATGTATACCTGTGTGCCAAAGTAGACGTGAATTATTGCTGGTCCACACTCAGTTCTCAGAATGATTGTAAAATCATCAGTGATACGTCAGCGCACATAGTTTAATGCATTTCAGAACAAAAATGGAGAAGCTGTGCGGGAGGTGGAGGCTTTGGAGGTGACAGGCTCTTGGATGCTTGTTGCTCTTTACTGGGAAAATCCAGAAAGACTGCATTTGAGATGAAATCTCTGGAGCTTTGGTCTTTTGCCACCTTGGCTTTCCCTTGCTGGGCTGTGATGATGTCATGGTGTCACTCCACACCCAGAATCTGTACTTACGTATTCTAGACACCAGTCAAATCGCAGGTTTATAAGTTTCCTTTGATTTACGCCATGGGGAAAGCAGTGACGATGAACTTGCCAAACGGATTCCTCTGTGCCACAAAAGGTGTCAGGGTCCAAGATGAGATAGGGCTTAGTTTACTCCTTGGCTCCGTGTTCTCCAGCCATAAACTAAACTGCAGTATTACTCCTGTTAGCTTTCATGGCGTGGTAATTCGGCATTTGTGATAGGGGCCCCATTGTACAACCTGATCTCCACCCCAAATTATTTACAGCATCAATAAATTGTACTTAATTATTGCAGAAAGGACAGGTACCTGCAAGAATAGACGTGGTTCTTGCGGACGCTCCTCCTGAAGAAGCCTTTGCAGCCGTCACAGCTGGATGCCCCATAGTGTTTGCCAGTTGCCCGGTCCCCGCAGATGGAGCAGAGGGAGCTGATGCCGTTGGTGAGCAGATTGGTGTTTGCTGATTCGGCTGTGATGGCCTCTGTGGGCAGAGAACAGGGGCCGTTAGACCCCTCTGTGATGGAAACTGGAATCAGCTGACATCAAGTTGCTTTTTTTTTAAGCAAAGCACACACTGACCCAACCCCCCCCCCAACACGTGTGCACACACAGGGTGTGTTACTAGTGAAGCCTCCATGTTGATGGTCATGCTCTTCTCAACCTCAGCTTTGCTTCCAATATTGGCGTTTTCCTTTTCTTCAGGGAACAGAGACATCTTAAGCTTCCTAACCCAACATGCTCATGAGAATTTAACAGTTCCTTACCTGGATGAGAGATATGTGCTTTAGAGGGATGGGGAGCCACCTCCCCAGTTAGACACCTGGAGAACATGGTTCAAAGCTGGTGCCCGCAGAAGAGAGTGGAAAGAACATTGTTAACTTGAATGAGTAGAAAGCAGAGAAGAGACAGCAGAGGCAGGAAGGATGAACTGCTTTGTGCACATGACGGAGGTGTTGGAGATAAAAGGCTGCCCTTGAGAGCTCCTCTGCAGCTGGAAGAGAGAGAGAGCAGCTCCCACAGAGGTCACTGCAGTTCTCCTAAGCCTGGTTCCTGCTCTGAATTGCCCTCTGAAGAGGCCTATTGCTTTCCATTGGAAAGCACGAGAGGGGTGCAGGAACCTGCTAAATTAGGGACCTAAAATTAGGTCATATGAATGCCCTCTGTCATGTCCTCTGTTTGCACCCACTCATTTGGGGCAGGAATAGCTCTGCCCCTGCCTGGCCTGTGTATACACTGCTGAAAACTCCCCTTTAAACTTCTCCCTTGGCCTTAACCACCAGGCTCGCTGCCCTCTTAATCCTCCTAATTTGAGGCACAGCCAAGGGAAAAAAAAAAAGGAGGAAAAAAAAAAGACACTTGAGAAGATGCAGATGACGGTGTTTACATCTCGCTGAGAGGAGGAATGTTTGTGGAGACTGCCCTGACCTGGGCACTCACTGCAGGAAGGTTTTATGAATTTATTGCACCTCTGGGAGCGTGTTCTTCACTCCAGGGGAGCTGATCTTGTGCTACAGTGACCTCGGCAAAATCTCTGGGACAAGATGCATCCTGCCTCGCAGGAGAGACGGGCGGTGATAAGAAAAGGTCAGCTGCTGTTGTATTGAGCAATGACAAATCTTAGAGAGAATTACTCGAAGGGGAGGAATTGCCATCTGATCTGGACAGTCTAGAGAAAGTTTTCTAATGCATAATGCGTAAAAATAGCTTTGGGTAATCCACACACAACATGTATATACACAGAGACAGAGAGAGGTGGCTATTTTTGTACATGAATACACATCAAAAATTTACAGTGAAAATATTTGCCGTGCACTGAAAATTGTAATCAAAAGCCAGAAAAAAAAAAAAAAAAGCCAATAAAACTTCAGTTTTTCAAAAACTGGAAAGTTTTTTAGCTAAGGCTAAAACTAAGACATTTTTAGCTAAGACTTCACAAATGCAAAGGTCAGACTTCCTTTCACCCCCTTAAAAGAACACTTTTTGATCTGTATTTCACCTTCTAATGTATGGATGAATAAATAAGTAGGTTGTAGCAAGATGGGAGCAACATGGCAAGAAAGAATGGCAACATCAAAACCATTCTTAGGTCATAATGACAGGAATTGAGTTTTACCTGTTCCTAAAATCCATGTAAGATGCTCCCAGCTCTGACATTTGTCACTACGTGACATTTGGGTCCTTTGGGAACATTGTCTGTGTCAGAGGTGCTTAATGGTAATTTAGATTGGTTTTTAGTGTTTTTTTACATTGATTCTTTGTTTTATTTTGCTTGATAACTCAGTATCAAATGAGCTGTACTGGAATATTCCTTCAAGTGTGACTGTACTGCTAAACATTTGTGCATCTGTTGCTCCATCTATTTTTCTGAAGGAAGGCATGACCATAAACAAATGCACCGAGTGTGCTGGATTCCATTTTAAAAATTGCACAACAAAAACAAAGATAAGAAGGCCAATTTTATGTTCTCTCCACTCGTGTTCTCTACTGACTTCAGAGGAATCAAGCCGAGGTCATACAGTTTGGGTCTCCAATGGACCCTTCATCCTTCAGGGGAATCCAGATTGCAAAATGCTCCTGATGCTGGAAAACATTGACTTACCAGAGAAGACTTTCTTCCCTTATGTGAGTGGGACATGTGAGGAGCTGCTTGCTGATATAAGGAAGAATCTGGCCTTAAACCAAGTATTACTGGAGGAAGGACCATCAGCACTGAGCATGTGAGGGCCCATGGAAGTTAGAAAACCCAATTTTGGGCTCACTTGTACCCATGAAAACACAGACAAGCCCATGGGCTACAGCTGAGTTGGGTGGCTCTATGTTAGGGCAGATACATAGCTAGAAGTTCAGTCACTGTTAGGCAGCCACGTGTCCTTCTCAGTTTGGTTGAACGTGAACAGAAATTAAAAAAAAAAAAAAAAAAAGAAAGAAAAGCCCTAAACCAGTGCACACATGTTAATTATGATGATAAATTTTGATTATGAAATCCTGTCAGCAACTAATGATGAGTTCCAAATGAGAATTAGCTCAGAGAAAAGCAAAGGCACAACCGGTATTGTGTGCATCAGAAGACTGTTTCAATGCAACTTCCAAACCTACTCAGTATTTGGGGAATGTCTGGGTTTTCCCTGGACTGATCACTGCTAGGAAAGGCAGAGGAAAGCCAGGATCCCTGCCAGCCCAGTTGCCTGCCTGTGAAATCAGCTGAAAACTGCAGACCATTTGCTTCAGCCCTGCCTGACACAAGGTGATAACCTGCTCGGAGCTTCATTTTTGACATGTTGTGCCTCTCTACTACAGGGGTTGCTACCTGCAGCTCAGCACCACATTGAGACGGTGCTTGAGGGCTGCTAGGATGGATCTGGTCAGAGTCCAGCTGGCTCACAACAACCAAAACAAGCTCACAACTGTCCTCACCACCCTGGACAGAGATGTTCAGTGACGTGTATTGGTTATAGATGCTCATCACTGTGGTATGACAGAACAGTCCCTAAGCTGTGCCACAGTGCCTCTGAAATCACCCCTGGAGAGACACAACTGATGACATCCTCCAAGAGGAGACCGTAACTCATCTTGACCTTGTATGAGTCCCAGGCTGAGCTGAAGACCCATGGTTGTAGCCAGACTTCTCACTAGGACTGTCCCAGACATTCACCAGCAGAAAAATCTGAATTTTCAACCGCCTTTTGTGAGTTATATATAAGCAGCGTGCAGATTGGGACTACAGCCCACCTAATGCTAATGAGACTATCCCAGCGGCTTCACCAGCTTGGCAGTCAACCATGCTCACGACTGAAATGCATAACAATTTTTGTTATCTACTGCGTCTGTGTGTAAGTTGTTACCTAACCAGGGCAGAAATGAAGATATCAAGTTTTGCAGTGATAGGAAATGACAGCGAGGATGGTATCAGTGAGGATGCTGCTGGAGAATCGTGTCTGGCTTCCATTCAGAGCTGGAGTTCTGCACGATACGTGACCGCTGCAGACCTCTTTGCTGCTTTTCCTCTCAGTTATGTCACTGGCTACAACTCTTCTAGATGCATACTGTGAGGGAGAATTACCTTGCGGTACTTTCCAGAATGGCGTTTGCTTTAATCTACCCAGAAATCCAAGCCAGTCTCGGTGCACACGATTTGCAGCTAACAAACCCCCGACTTGCATGTGCTGGGCTAGAATGCAAAGCGATCATAAACAAGGGCTTAGGGCGTGCACGTGCAGTCAAACTTGGCGGCCAAAGCTGGCATTGCAAAACCTGTGCGTACAAATGTAGGGCTGGACGGGGGCTAGCCCTGAAGCCCTGGCCCTGTGCAGGTCAGCCGCTTTCTACATCAGCTTTCAGCAAATAGAGGAGGAGTTTTAGAGATATAAAACATAGCTTTGATTTACTGTTCCCAGATCCTTCAGTAACAATGACGAAGAGGCCTGCCAGAAAGGCCAGAGCTCCTCGCAAGCACACAGGCAGCTGGAGGGATGGCCAGGCACTGTCAAAATACCCTTGATGGCTTTTTAATGGTCTGAATTGGGTCAGACCGTAGTGGGGCTAGGAATGGTGTTTCGCCAACGTTGTGCCAAAGTCCCAAGGATCAGTGTGGTGGTTGAGTGCCGAGACAGATGAACGAGCCCCACCATGGGAGACAGCGTTCACTGACGCTCGAATAAAGAATTAGTGCAATAATTCAATACTGCTTCATATTTTTTAAGCAAAATGACAACTCTGACAGGAGCGTGAGGAAATGGGTATTAACAGCACATAAAAACCAAGTGAGAATATGGCTTGTAATGCCAGCCATGGTAAAGGAAACAATTTTATGCCGAAAGGGGAAAATTTCTGCAGTTACAACAGATATTTTCTAAAGGAAAGACGGGATTAGCATTGATTTTTGTTCATTTCCTTTTGCCATTCTTTCTATTTAAAACAGAGAATTTTTTACACTCCTCCTCCACTCCCATAATGGGTTCTATTCTTTATTTTGAATTAGTCTCAAAATCTTTGACAAATTATGGGCTACTTAAAGGTGGGAAAACCAAAATACACATCTAGGCAAATCTCAAAACAATAGCAGCTTCCTGAAGCAGAAAGCTTAGCACCAGAAGTGCTCCACATCATTAATCAACCCAAAATTTTGATGAAATAATATTCCAAAGAAAGAAAGAGTTCATTTTGAGAAAGCATGACCTTATTTGAAAACATTCTAATTTTGACTTTTAAAATTGTTCATAATGTAAGAAACAGTCCTGAATCCATTAAGATAAATATTGCACCCCTTTCTTTTTGAGTTTATAGAGGGCAAAACTGCCAGTAGATTTAGGAGGGGAAATAATAGAGACAAATCTTGCATGATGGGAAAGACACAGCTTAAAACAATCCAGTATATTTTAAAAAATACCTAAAATGAGATTATTTCTTGATTCTAACAATTTAAAAAATAACTCTGGAACTACAGGGTATCTGTGTGAACTGTTATTTTGAGTTACCTATGGGAACTCAGCTGGTTAGCAATATATTTCCATGCATGGACATTTCAGTTCTTTTTTGAAGTTATTTTTACAAACTGTAGAAGAGGACACTTACCCAAGACAAACAAGCTAATTTCAAAACATCTAGTTCCTGAGAGAACTGGTTACTCATTAACAGCTAGGCAAATAACACAATACTGATCTAGATAAACTTCAGAAAAAACTCAACCTGTCAGTTCCACTGCATGAAACAGCAGAGAGCCCCAGACAGGTTTTGGTAGTTAATTTGCAAAATTGTATTGAATTTTGAGGAAATTTGTACCTCTCTAAAAAGTGAAAAATATCTTGGTGCTCAGCAGCTCACAGAAACATCTGTGTTAAATAACATTTCTGGAGTAGGAAGGCAGATGGAAACCTTTCTGCAAGAATAAGAAATAAGATCCAGTCTATTGGAGCTGGCAAAAAAAATATATTGCAAATCCTTTATTTGGGGACAGACAGAGCTTTTCTTCAAGTCAATTTTAAATTCAAATTTCTTTGGGCCTTTTAACTTTACTTGTCTCCTGATATCCTTCCGTGTCCCACAACAATAAGTTGAATCATCTTATACTGTAGACGATAGCCCTACTGAAACTCTGATTCCTTTTGATGAGACAATTAATGAGCGAACGTGAGACCCTGAAAATCCCATCTTAATTTCACTACGCTTCCTGACAAATTAAAAGAAATGCTGCCAAAACTCTCCAAAGGTGTTGCTAACATTGGAATCTCATTCAGTTACATGATTGGTTTCACGCTATAGGACTAAAATGTCCTTTCTTTTTTCACACAGTGAACAGTTAATTTCACAGAATAGTGTTGGCTTTATGTCAGAGTACTTTTGGCTACTCAAAACCTAAATATCGCGCAATATGCTTTATTTCTGTGAACAAAGCGGAAGTCTTTGCATGTAAACATGCCTTGCAGCCAAGTTCTTTGTGTGCTGTAAAGGCTTTCAGACCATCTCAGTAGCCAGAAAAAAATATAAAGCAAGTCATGATTTGGATATTGCTTCTCAGTCTAAGTACCTAGCAACAAGTTAAATAGGACACATGGTGTGTTGTCTGCGTAAGGGACAAATGCCATTTGAGATGGTATTTTTTTCCAAGGATTAAATGTGAACCTAAGTCATATATGGGAATGAAACACACATTTTAAGGAAGAAACATTGATAATAACCCCTCTCATAAGTCATACAGGGGGGCAAAGATACGGCATGCCATGAAGAGCTCTACCAACATTCGCAATATCTTGGGGGCTCTTCGGGACATGACACTCAGCTCACCAATGAAAAGAATAACTCAAAATAGGACTGGCAAGCGAAGGGGTCCCATTTCAGCCCAAACATAACTGCAGATGCCACACGAATTGACAGGTCAGCTGCTTAAACATTACCCCTTCCACCCTTTGCCCCACGCCTCCTACCTGCCTTTCCTAGGTGTTCAGTTTATAACAAAGGTAGTGGAGGTTATTCAAGAGGAAGCGAACAGAAATCTCACCGGTGTTACTGGGGAGCACCCGAAGGTTGTCGAATTCCAGCATGGTATAAGAAGAGTCCAAGGAGTCAACGTAATCTGGCATATCCATGTCCATGATGGACTGACAAAGCTTCATTATTACTTGTCAACAGCAAGGGAAGCGGCAAAAAACAGCCCTGCTGTCAATCACGGCCAAGGTTTCCTCCACAAAGAGAGACACCCCAGCCCTCGCAATGACAAATCATTACCCAGCTCTGCCCGCAGTCCCCTCCCCGTGCCAGGCGAGAAGGGATGGAAGCCGTTCCCTCTCGCGCACATAGTCCCCTCCCTTCCCGGGGTGCATCTGTGCTCTCTCGGTCCTGATAATATGATGTAGATAAGGCCTAGACTCAAATGACTTGGATTGCATCTTCGGGTCAATACAGCCTGTTTTATGGCTGTTCCTGAGCAAACGTTTTGAAAAGGGCTGCGGAGAGGTGTTCATGCAC